GTACATAAACAATTAGAATATGTGTTACATGAACACACTTGAGAGTTTCTTCATTGCTAGCTTATAGTGGCAGAGTCTGAAGAACAATTGCTAGTACGGCTTGGTGAAGACTCTAAGCTAAAGGCCTCACAATTCAGACAAGTTATTATACTTGGTAATTTTATATCAGCATTTAGTACAATTCGGTGTTGGTAATAAAGTTGTGGATTGTTCGTATTGCAGAAAGCATGTTGTATTGTCTTATCAGCTTGTCAGCTAAAGTCTACAAGATTGCAAGGATCGAGAAAGGTTGACAAGCTCTACGAATATCTGCCCTCAATGGCTCTATCAGTATAGAACCTCTTGAAGAATCAAAGGTTAAACGTGTTACACATTGGATTTAGAATCTATTGTGCATCCATCTTCAGTGTCTCTTGTACTATGAAGTAAAGGCAAAGACACTTGATCAAGTTATCTCTTCAACGACTAGTTTCTACAAAGGCTATAAATATGGCTAAAGATTCAATTTTGAATCTTAACAAGGATTCTCCAGATGAAGGAGTAGCAAGATCAAAGAATTATCAACTCTATTGTAATATGCAGAATTTCTGTTGTAGGTTGTAATTATAAAAGCCTTAAGATTTCTTACCATTGAATATCTTAGAAATCTTAAGAGCTTTAGGTCTTTTGTTATGGTGATTTCCCGTACTCTGATGCTTGCATCATATACACCTTGTTCTCTATTCTACTGAGCCTTCAGTATTTTAGATCAAAGTCTCTTACTATGTGCTTAAGAAGAAGTCTTATCTCATTGAGATTCAAGCAGCAAGTCTTGAGCAAAGATGCTTAAGCCACGTAAGTCTCATTGCTTAAGTACTTGAGATGTGAAAGTCTTATTTAGCTAGTGTTATTGAGCAAGGGGAAGTCTCAGTATGAATGGCCAGAAGAGCAGGTGGCTCGGCTAGAGGATGTGAACAAGAAGTCTTAGACATGTGCTCTAAGAAAGGGGAAGTCTCAGCCTGAAGACTAGAAGATCAGGTGGCTCTTTCAGAAGCTCTAAGCAAAGCAAGTCTCAGACAGTTGTTCTGAGCAGATGTAAAAGACTTATGTAAAAGCATAAGCGATTGTAATCATGAAGTGGTTATAATAAAAATCTCTTGTGAGGCAAGGGGACTAGAGTACTCTTAGTTAAGGGAGGAACTAGGATAAATCTTTTGTGTCTTCTGCTGTTATTTTGTTTACTTCTATTATATCTGCAGGCAATGAATTAAACAGAATCCGAACATCAGTTTTGATTCTAAAACTATAATCAAAAGTTAAATAAAAAAAAAACGTGAAAGACAATTCAACTCCCATTTCTTGTGTACTTTTCAAACCTTCAGTGGGAGCATTTTTTACATTGTGGATTTTCATTATGAGCAACACACCTTGTGAGAGACACACCACATATTCACCTAAAACTTTAATGTGATAGGTGTGTGGGTTATTTAACTTATAAATGCTTAAGTCTCTATTTTTCTAATCAATGTGGGACTTTCCCACACTTTGTTTCTCAACACTTTTTAAATCAAAAATCCTTTTTCTCAACATTCTCCTTCAAGTGTGAGTATATCGAAAATGTTCCCCCTTAAGTGGACGTTCTTTCATTCATATACACTTGTATCACAATTAACACTTTTTCAACGGAAAATGCCTCGTACCTACCACCATATGGAGAGGACTTTTAATATAAGTGAGTCGATCATTCGCTCGAACAAATGGCTCATGATACCATTGTTAGGTCATCAATTTTAGGGATCAAAATAAGGGATAATTTTTACATCGGGGCACTTATTAATGGGAAACAGGTCTTGTGAGAGACACACCACATACTCACTTAAAACTTTAAGGTGATTGGTGTGTGGGTTCTCTCACTTATAATTGTTTAAGTCTCCACTTTTTTAATCAATGTGGGACTTTCCCACAGTTTGTTTCTTAACACTTCTTAACCCACACTTGCTTTTTCTCAACACTTTATTTGTGTTGAGGGTTTTTATTCCTCTTAAAAAATTTGGAGGCACATCGAGACATTTATGGATTCAAAGTGTGTCGTGGAGATCCGATATTGACATGTCTTTTATTGGTTGAGAATTTTTAATTTTCAAGGTTTTAGGTTAAAGAAAGATGGGCTATATTGATGCTTAATTTCCTTAAACAATACAAAGATGTGTTGCATCACACGTGTCAAAAAAAATACTTTGAGACTTTAAAATAGGATGAAAGTGGAATGGTTCACTTTGATGACAATAAGGATTGTAAGATTATGGTATTGGTACTATCAGACTTAAAATGTTCAATGATCATAATTTCTTCTTCAAATTTAGGAATGCTTTAGAGCTTAGGAAAAATTTGTTATCCATAAGCATGTTTTATGATCTAGGCTATTGCATTAGAGTTAAACATGAGGTGTTGAAGATTTTGAAAGGTGGAGTGATCATAACAATAAGGTCTAAAATATGTGGCTTATATATCTTAGAAGGTTTCAATATGTTTGCTCCTTCTTCATCAACAAGTGAATACTTTCATGACGAGAACAAATTATAGGATTTTAGGTCAAGGCATGGTAAATGCATGAAGGTTGTACTCAGAGCACTTTAATGAGTTTTACAAAAGATAAGAGAATTGAATATTGAGTTGTCATTGAATTTATGGGGTAAGTCGGATGCCAAAGTAGCTTACATGGTCGGTAGACGTTCATTTACATGAATAAACTTCCAAACACTTATGGAATCTTGAAGTATGAAAATTGTAACCTACTCAGTTTTGATAGTCGTCAAAGCTTTTCCTATTGCACAAATCAAACTCATCGAACTTGATGGTAAGGTTATGAATTATGTTTTAAATTTTTAATCTAGAAGGTGTGAATGGTTATGAGTTGTGGGAAGTGGAATAAAGAAGATCCAAGTTTACCATTTGTAGATGTATTACTTTTAGTATTTCTCGTCAAGGAAGTAAGAGTATAGGCTTAGAGATTAAGGTTTTATAAACTATGGCGGAGAAAACTTAGTTTGAGGTGGAAGTTTCTATTATGAATACTAGTAGTAGTGAAAGAATGATTATAGAGGTGTCAGATTATCATTTGACTTGTGATAAAGTAAAGAATGAGATTGTATCATTTCAAAGGTACAATTATGATTACTTTGAATTTTATGCTTTGAATGTGGCTGAAGGGTTACAAAACTCAGAAACAAGAACTTTCAGAGAGGCATTCGAAAGTAGATGGAATCAAATATGGTTGAAGAATTATGATTATGTGCTAATTAGACTATTGAAGCAAAAAAAGTGGTTGGAATACAGTGAATGCAAATGGAAATATTAAGGTTCAAGTGTTGCGTGAACTTGATTAAATTTGTTTAATGGTGATTCAGATCAGAGAGAGAAACGAGGTGGTTGATGGGTAAATTGACAACACTAGAGTTTAAAGTCAAGATGGAGAATTGTATAAGTATGCCTTAAAACCTTGAGTAGTGGAGAGAAATAAAACATGTTTCGAGATTGTCATAAATCAGAAATCTAAAAAGTAGTAAGAATGATGATAAAAAATAATAGAGAAGTAAGGGTGGCCCAACGGGTGGTGATCGACGGTGGTATCGAGAGTCGCATTGACGGTTGTCTTGAAGTCGAGTGTCGGCGGAGGTCGACGATGCAATGGGTCGTAGTGGTGATAGTTCATTGATTGCCAACGAATACAACACGACAAATCCAAGAAGTTCGGTGGCGAGGAACCTAGTAGAGGAAGTCAGCCATGCAGACCGGGCTCAGTGGACAGTTTTGCTCCATTGGGTCCGATTCAATTACTTCACGTTAATCACACTTGGTTATTTCAATATGTAGATCTGTTTGTTTGGTTTTGGTCTCGTTAAGATTTTGTTGAGTTTCAACAATTTTAAATATGTCTCTCTATCATTTTTGTCTTAATAACCTTAAAAACTTCAAACCTAAAGACAAAGAGAGGGTTACAAATCTTATTGGAAAACTTAGAGCAAATGGTAGAAATTCCTTGAAGTGTTTGGAATTTGGAAAACACATTATAGGTATCTAAGAGGATTTAAAAAAAACACTTTTAAACACCATGAGCTTGTGTGATTCATATATAAAAAGTTAGAAAGATTTAAAAATAATTGGGTAGAAAATAGGATTTGTTTTTAAAAACTTGAGAGATTATTTTTTTATAACTCTTTTATAATCTCTTGAAACAACTTTAAAAAATATAGTGAATTAAAAAGATACTCTCTCCCAGAATACATCATTTTGATCGAACCAAATAAACAAGTTCTTCGTATACTTGTCTTTTATATTTCTCTTCCTTATTGTGAATTTGCTTACATGTTAAATTACTATGTTATTGTGTTTCTTCTGACTTTTTTTGTTACTGTTATTCTTTGTTACACACATCAAATTTCAAGCGGTGATGAAGATCAAAATTTCATCTCCTACATAAAATAGGTTTGCCCTAAATCTTTTATAACAAAGCCAAATTATTCTTTCAAAATGATCTATCATATAAAAACTATTCTAAATTGGGTACCCTTAGTCAAAATGTGTGGGTGAAATTCTTGCAGCATTTCAAGGCATATCTCACCTTATCTTTTGCACCCCCATTAGGATTCTAGGCTGTGTGAATGAAACACACTCTTGAATATCACTTAATTAGTTTCTTTTTATTCAATATCACATATTCTAGAAGATTAGAATGTAATGCAATCAAACTTTTCACATGTAAAATGAAGAGCCACAAAGAAACACCCCTACTATAAACATGATATTACATAGTGATCCTATAATTAAACTAAAAGAAAAATCACAAGACAAAAATTTAAAAATAAAATAAAATTGAAATCTCATCAACCTAAACTCATACTAGGCAAATATCAGCATTATTTTCTATAATTACAATTGCCAACTTTGGCACACTCATTACATATTATTTTTTCATATTTACACAAAAATTCTGCTCCCTTTTGCTATCTAAAGGGATTAAATCAGCTACAATGTCTAGAGTGTTGCTTCTCATGACTTGCACATTTGCATTTTTCTTTACAATCTGTGAGTATCTACAAGAGATGAAAGAAATTTAGTTAGACAATATAAACTGATGGAATTCAATAATTCAAGTGTTTATTCTGTTTATTTTTATGACAGGGTATATAGTTTTCTAGTACCTGAACCTGTTCCTGCAAGTCTTTAATGTACTCAACTGCCAAATCCAACATATCTGCTGTACTTGTTTGCTGCAAAATTACAAGTTCTTAGTTACAAAAATGCATAAAAAGTTTCATACGATTATTAGCTACGCAGCACTGACACGTTAGATTGAATGTGTGTCTGGTGACTGATACGCGACTTGAAGATGTGTTTGGTGTCTAGTACATGTCTGTGTCTGATGCACGACACTTTAAATTAAAGGTGTGTCATGTGTTTGATACGCGATACTTTATATTGAAGATGTTTCTGCTGTCTAATACGTGTTTGTGTCTGATACGTGGCATTTTAGATTGAAGACGTGTTTAATGTCTGATTCACAATACTTTATATTGAAGGTGTGTTTGGTGTGTGATACATGTTCTGTCTGATATGAAAATTAAAATGTTTTAAGAAAATAAATAGGACTTAAAATACCTTATCCGATTTTGGGAAAAGACCTTGCAATTTCTTGATTCTATCACTAATTCGCGTTCTTCTTACCCTCTCTGCAATGCTTCTCGGATGAGTTGCAAACCCTCTTTTCGCTCGAATTTTACAAGGAACAGAATCTTGAATTTGAAGAAACTTTTCTATGGATGATGTTATCTTAGTTGAAGAACTAGGCAAACTCAAATGATGAGTCAAACCAAGATTTTGATAGCAAAAATCAGCTTCATGAGATTCCAAGCCATTTGAAGTAGAAAACATGATTTCATCTTCAGTTTCTGTTTTTTGAGCATTGAATGATGAATTGTCCCAAAATTCATTTGTGAAGCTAGGCATATGTTGAGTTTTGGAGTCACCATTTGCTTCTAAACTTTGGATTCTATTTTCAGCAATTTGTGGCATTCTTTTCAAGCATGTAGATGGCATAGATGAGAAGTTAAGTGTTCCATGTGGAGTTTCATGTCCATTTGTGTCTTCTCTCAATGTTGTAAGACCTTCAATTAACAAATCATACTAAAATAAATAAAAGAATTTGATTTGATTTGGTAAAATGCTAAGTAACTTGCAAAGTATAATTAATTCTAAACATATCCGACTTAAATTTTCGAAAGACTCTATAGATTAATTACAATTCAATTGAGACAAAATAAGTAAGTGTCATGATTTAACTGTAGCAAAATTTAAACCTATTTATAACTGTGTATCCATCCTTGCGATTGATTTATCAAAGGCGATCAATCCCTCTATCTACTCGCTGAGGCCATTTAACACGGAGGCCATTTAAAAGGGATTAATTTCACTGTTCACTAGCAGAAGTCATTTAAAAGATGAACTCACCTAACACAGTAATTGTTACCACCTAACAGGATTCGAACCTAAATTCTTGAGATGAACATAATCTCAAGACCTAAACTTTCGTCAACAGGCCAACCAGGCTAATTATTATAGAGAAAAACAGAGTAAAATCTATGCAAGTTAGAAAAAGTTCATACCATTTTCATGAGAGAAAAAACCAGCAGGTGAACTCTTTTGCCTAACAAGATTATTGCAACTCCTCACACCCATTTTAGCTTGAGCACAATCCTCAGAATCCCTAAAGTTTCCTCCACCAAAAGATCCATAAAAACCATTACCAGAACCACTTGAAAAGCCTTGATAAATCAACTCAGATCCACCATAACTATAATCACCATTCTGTCCAACAGATTCACCTACTTCTTTCTTCACATTCTTCACATCAAACTCTTCCAAAGGCTCTTCACAATTGTTCCATCCATTGTTGGATGACATCAACTTGGATAACATGGTGTCCATTTCTGAGCTTGTGGATGGAAGATAATTCTCAGTTGTAAAAGATTCTTCATTGTTGATATAGCCATGATGATGATTGCTAGTGTTGTCAATAAGGTTTGTAAACAATGGAGTTGATAGTGTTGAATTGTTCTGTTGGTGATAGTGTTGTTTTGAATCTATTTCTTGGTTTCTTCTTATCTCTTCATACATAACACTCATCTTGTTTCTTCAATTACCTGAAAAAAACATCAAAGAAAAACTATCTATGATTTCTTCCTATAATTAGTTAAATTAGTTAAAGTAAAAAATCATCATTGTAGATATGATTAATTTTTCTAAAACAGTTGATTTTGACTGCAACATTAATTTTTTTTATATCTCTACAACCGCAACTATAACCGCATCAGTGGTATCTGACACTAATTTAATACAAATGTCCACGGTTGCGACATAACCACGATTGATATAATCGTGGTTCTATAATGAGTCTGCAATTGAAATTGCGGTAAAAAAAAATATAAATATTTTTTAAGTTTCTACAACTATATTACAATTATTTCAATCAAATCAATTATAATTATCTACAATATAAAATTTCGCAATTTGCGGCCACAATTTAAAATCAATAATGAGTAGAAAAATTTACCTGAGAGAATCTTTATTGAATTCTATCTGTTCTGTGATCAAGATTAGATTTTGAGACAAGAAAGTTATGAAAACTTTGAAAGGAAATAAAGGTGGTATGAAATTCAAATTTAGATGAATTCAAATTCAAACTTCAAGTCCTTATGTTTGTTGAGTATGAGAAAGAATAGATTTGAGACAAGAGAGGAAGAAAAGAGAAGGAAGGTAGGAAATAATTGTTGTCTTGTCTTCCACTTGTGACATATTTATGAAGTGTTATGTTTCGTATTTGACCTCATTTTTTCACAATAATTACGCTTATACCTTATGAATTGAGTGGTTTAAATTTTTCTGCCGTTGACTGTTAAAAATAATCAAAGTTGGGGTCTAGACTTTTGGTGATATTTTGGGTGTGAACATTAACAGTGAAAGTGGACTTTAAAATATCTACTTTTGTATTTGATTATAATATTATTTGACTTTGTAATTGCATTAATTTCAAGAATAATATTATTTGACTTTGTAATTCCATTAAATTTAAGAATAAAAAACAATGATATTTTAGATTTAATTAAAATATACTGATTATATAAAAAAATTTTATACTGTCAATTAATTATGAATATTAAATATAAAATAAAATTTGAACAAACGAATTATAGTAATGAATTGACAGTCTAATTAAAATTTTTTATACTGTGAAATGCATATCTATAAATAGGAATAATAAGTGAATAAGATTCACTTGAGATCAAATTCTTATCACCTATTTTTGTTGGATATTTATTCTTTATGTTAGTCAAAACAAATAATGTATTAAATTAAGAAAAATGAAAGAATACAAATAATAAAATATCTTGACGTGGCAATGGATAAGGCAAGTGATGCTTTGCTTATGAGCCAAGCGACCTTTGTTTAAACCTTAGAACAATTGTGGTGCAACAAAATTGTACGGTTGGTGTTCTTTGGCTGCAGGAAGGGGCACATCACCTTTATGCTTTTAAATATTTTAGGTTCGTGCATTATCCCTTGAAACATTTCTATTATATTTTAAATTATATTTGTCATTTTCATTAAGAGTTGGTTAATTAATGATTATCATAGAAAGGTACTTTTGGAGAGGTTGGTGATATTTCTTTCCTTGTTTGTGGTTATCTGAAATGAAGATATTATATTAATTGAGTGCAGACAGACAGCGTGAGTTTGGAAAGGGACTTTTGAATTAAATTCTCATTTTGTATTATATATAGGTTACTTCACTATTGATCACTACAAATATTATTGACTTGTTTACTTTAAGTGCGGTATAGGTTTTGAATATCATATATAGATTAGTATAATCGGTCTCACACATCTTTAAAAACAATTCAAGTGATTGATAAATTTAAATGAAAATAAATAAAAAATTTGAGTTGAATTTATGGTTGAAATAATCATCGATTAGATTGTACTCACTTCAAAGTTGAGTTTTATAATAATATTCTAATAGTCTTTTTATAGGTAAAAGTCTTATGAGATTCTTGTTTCATTTTTTTTTTATTTTTTATGATATCTTATGTTTCTATTGTATCTTGTTAATTTTCACAAATGTTATTTGTTTTAGAAAATATATCTTCAGATGTATTTAAGTGTAAGTTAACGTTAAAATGTTTCAGAGATATATTTTCGAAACATTTTAGAGTATAAGTCGCGTCTGATTTTTCTCCTTCTTGATTTCACACTTTCTCAAACTCAACTCAACCTCTCTCGATATACTACTCTAAAATCAATCTTCATCCGTAACATCATCCAACTTCATCAAAAACATTCATTTCAAGTAAGTTTTTTGAGTTTTCGATAAATGTTTGAGTTTTAGTGTAATGAGTAGAAATCAATGATTAAGATTAGAAATGAGTAAAAATCACATGTAACGTAGTTTAGACATAGTGTATAAGTTGTTTGTTGGCTGAAAATGGTGATCAGAACAAATTTTTTTGATCTTGCATGTGGTACATTCACCATTGACGCAACTTCTGAGTTGCAGAAATTTCCGGAGATGCATCTCCAAAATTATTCAGCGTTTCATATACTGCAGGAATTTTCGGAGATGCATTTCAAGAATTTTTAAATGTTTGAAATTTCTCCAGATTCTAGAAATGCACCTCCGAAATTTAGTGCAGTATTTTTTTTTTTTGGATTTTCTCGCTTGTGTGTGCACTAAGGGTATGCCTTGCTTTAACTTACAAGCATAACAGCTGAGAGACATGACAGTCTGAGGCATGGCAGGGTTGCTCATCACGCATCTGTTTGGCAGGAGATGAGCGAGCAGGTTCCCTAGGCTCCAGGTTCCTCTGGTCAGGTAGAGTCGTCTACTTTTGGGGCTCGTGCTTCTCCTCAGGCCACTCCACCTTCTTCTTTCTGTAGGAGATGAAAGTCATCATCTGATGCATCACTTCCCTTATCCTCCCGCAGGCGTCAGGATTCACCTGTGCCACCTCCTACGAATGAAGCTGTTGATTTAGTCCCATCTCCTACTAATGATGTTGTTAATCCATAGCCACCTCCAGAGGGTGAGGCTGTTGCGGATGTCGTGTCAGAGGCCTTTGAACGAGGTCTAGTTGATTTGTCCTTATTGCCTTTGTATTCAAACCATATTGTTAGTCATATATGGGACGGAGAGGTAGCATTAGTTGGATTCTTTATTTATTTTTTATGTTAATTTTAATTTTTTACATTGATTATTTTAGATAAATTTCAGGAGCGTGCTCCCTAGAAGTTTCTTAACCACATGAGGAAGATTGTCGTGTTGCCTCAGCTGAATGAGGATTGGTTTCAGTCGGTTTTATCCTTATCCGGCTTGAAGGAATTGTGCATGAACAGTTACACTATGATCAACTAGGGGATAATTAAAGGCATTTGTGGAGAGATGCCACTCGAAGATCTCTTTGTTTCATCTCCTGCATAGTAAGATGTCTATCACACTAGATGATGTCTCCTATTTGCTACATCTTCCTATCAATAGGAGATCCGTAGATCATGGGAGGATGACCAAACAAGAGTCACTCGAGATGATGGTATAGTATCTCGAGGTTGATCCAGGGGAGGCAATGAAGGAGTTGGATAAGGTCGGGGGTACTCATGTTGATTTGAGTTCCTTAAGAAGTTATATGAGGCTAAGATAGTGAGTGCACATGAGGATGATGGTGATGTTGAGTAGGTGGCGCTCCACAGATCATATGCATTAAGAGCATACCTGCTTTATTTGGTTGGAAATGTTATTTTTATGGACAAGAGTGTCACTTATATGGACGTCGCCAACCTATGGTACTTCGTGGATTTCGAGCAAATCCATGAGTACAACTGGGGGAAGGCTTATTCGGTCTACTGTATTCAAAGCTGAGAGAGGGTTGTATGTGGAAGACGAAGCAGGTTATAGATAACTTGACACTACTGACGGTAATAATTATATGTCTTTAAATATTTTTTTATCATTTTCATTTCATCTTTTTAAAACCATTGTCGCAACTGCGAAAAACAACTGGCGGAAAAACAGAAGAGTCGCCACTTTCGTTATTTATCCCAAAGAGAGGGAAAGGAAACGATTAGAAAAACCTAAAGAAAAAGGGAAAGACAAGGTCATCACAATCATGTCTGGATTTGGGAGTCGATTACGCAAGGGGAAGGTATTAGCACCCCTCATGTCCGTCGTACTCGACGGGATCCACGCGTTGTTGTCTATCTAAAAGGGTGTGTTAAAACTATCTAGCTAAAGGCTCAGGGACAAAAGAGAAAGAAAAAAGATTGACTCGGCAGAGCATTGTCGCTTTGTGCCTACGTACTCCCCCGTGCAATGGTAAAGTCAGAGTCAATGTAGTTCGACCGACTACGACTAAAGAAAAGGGAAGGTTTCTCGCCAAGACACTGCGTCTTGTGCCTACGTACTTTCATCTGGTATGAAAGATCAGAGCGAACGAAATTCAAACTAAAAGGACCACAGGTTGGTTCAAAATTTTTTAGGCCCAAGTAGGGTTAACAGATAGTTCTAGCAGTTGGTGTATGCAGCTCGACTATTGGAGACTTAGGCGTTACCGTTTGCGGTAGAACTAAGAGTTAACGACACTCTTTCATCTGAAAATATTTTCCTGATTAAAATCCCGAAGGATGAAAAAGGTTTGGAATGTTTTTGTGTTTTTTAGAGAAGAAATGTTTTGAACTTGATTTGTAACTCATGTTGCACTTAAAGACTATGATCTAGGAGCGAATGCGTCGTATATCGTCCAAAGGACATATACTAACATCCTAGACAATTGAGAGGCAACCACCCAATCATCATTTCCCAAATAGCTTAAGGCTTGTAGCTTACAACACTTGTCATTCTTTATTAAGTGTTTTATGAATGTTTAAAGATGAGAAGAGAAGAAGGAACACTAATGGGAGACTAATCAATCCTAAAAGTTATCATGCAAAGTACACCTAAAGTTGAGATTCAAAAGGGAACTACCTAATGTTATCATGCATGGTTAGGAACCTAATGTCTATCATAACCTCAATAGGTTAGATAACTTATGGGGAGCATGGCAAAGAAGAACAAAGAAGAGGAGGAAGACGAAGAATGC